GGTCTTTCAGTACTTCAAGAGGGCTTATAAGAAAGATGGGGACAGAATGTTTTAGTAGGGCCTGTAGAGATAGCACAAGGGGTAATGGTTTTAAACTAAAAGGGGAGATGCAGACTAGATATAAGGAATACTTTCTTTTTATTTTTAAGAAAGTGGTGAAACAGGCTGCCTAGGGAGGTGGTAGATGGCCCATCCCTGGAAATATTCAAGGTCAGGTTGGATGAGGCTTTGAGCAACATGATCTTGTTGAAGGTATCCCTGCTCATTGAAGGAGGGATGGACTAGAGTTAAAAGGTCCCTTCCAGCTGAAACCATGCAGTGATTCTATGAGTGCAGTAAACTGTCACACCACTGCATTTGCACATCCCAAGTCATTAATATTAAAAAATTACTAATGATATCCTGACTCCAACTTTTCCAAACAGGCCCCTTGCTGTAACAGGAGAAGGCTACCTGCACTTTCATTTATTCTCTGCTCCCGTAACACCTCTGAGATTGAAGTACAGTCAGTTGCTCATGGCTTAAGTCACTTCAGTTCCATCCAGCATACATGTTAGTTCATTCCAAGGCTGTTTTCTGGGCGGCAACCAAGCAGCACTTCCACGCATAGCACTCTCCAGAGTAAAAACAGTTGATTCTGCACAGCCCCACAGAGTCTTTCAATGCTACATCAACATGCTTTGCTCACCCACACATTCCCAAATCACACCCCACAGCATGCAACACAGTCTCAAGAGCTATGCTAGACACATACCATGCTGGTGGTCTGCAGCATGCGTTGAGTGGAAAAAAGCTATAAAGTATCACAGGGTGTCAACCAGAGCCCCAGGCTGATATGTGTAGCAAGCAGGTATGTGAAACCTTTTCCAGAAGGAATCAATCCTGAACTACATATAGGTAAATCAATTCAAAATAATTGGTCTGAAGGCCAGGTGTTGAATACCCACAGTAACGTTCACAAGATTTTACACTGGCAAAGATAACGTTAAAAATGTATAGCAAACATAACAATGTCTAACTGATTGTACAGCATGAAGTGCAGTAGTCCCATCAGCTACAAGCTTCAACTCAGTGAGGTGACCGTCGATCAATAAAATTACTTACTATCCTCCCTGTCTGCGATTTTTCTTTCTGACTAAAGCAAGAGAGAGGAGGGATGCTCACACTGGAAAGCCCCGCTCATTCTGGGGAGTATTCACACCTAGTTTAGGTAGCTAACTTAAGACATCAATCTCCCAAACAGCCCTGCAGTCAATAAAAAGATAAACTACTCCAGATGTGGAGCTAGAACCTAATTTAGATGCCTTCACTTGCACTTCTCTATTGAAACAGACACCACTTGGGAAAGCATTATATTCATTCCCCATTCCCCACCCCCACTTTGTGCTGGGAATCTGGTAAATCACAAGGTTTTTCTTTTATAACTTTAGAGTGCAGAAATTATTATTTATGGGTCTCTGAGGGTACATAAAATCCAAGAACTCAGCAGTATGCACATGTCCATATTCAGTTTTCTGCACAGGCTACTGTAAGTGACACCTTACTGGCCCATTTCTATGGGATGAATACTGGTGTATGAGTAGGACTTCTACTGCTTCCCATGTCTTCCATGCACCATAACGTCAAGGTTCTGAGAACTACTGGCAGAGTTTGGTAGGAAGCTACCTTTCACTGACAGGTGGAGTCCTCTACTAGTAAAGAATTCAATTCCTTCTTCAAGAAAAAGTGCTCTCTCACTGCATATCTCCATCAGGCCCATAAGATACAACTAAGATACAACTGGATGCACAAATTGAAATTTTATCAGCTAATTAATTCACAGGACTCCTGCCAGACAATTTTAATAGCAGCTGTAAACCTCTTGAAATGTAGAAAAATATAATAAAAAATAAAAATAAATGTGCTTAGAAATAATTTGTGAGGAATTAACCACATGTATAGGCCCTGTATTTTTAATTACTTCTGAATATGAACTGTTACATTTTAAGGTCAACTGGTTTTGTGTCTATCTGATTTTCCAATTTTCTAAACACTCTCATTGTAAAATAGATCAAAGAACTAAAGAAAACACAAATTGGAAAGGAGATCTATGAGGAAACAGTGTGAAATAAAAATGTGGAAAAGACATCAGAATTAAACAAAAGGGTACCCCTTAGTCTTTCCAATAAATCCAGATCATATACATGCTGGCTTTTCTGGCTGCTAAAATGGCCCCTAGTGATGGAAGACTTCTACTCTATAATAATTTGGGGAGCTGATGTAAAGACCTAAATTAATTATTAATATCGGAAAGGATGGAGAACAGAAAATACAGCGAATGTGGGAAATCAGACCTTATTTTACTGTCTAGTCTTGAAATATATTTTCCTATATAGAATCATAGAATCACAGAATGGGTAGGACTGGAAAAGACCTTAAGATCACCTAGTTCCAACCCCCCTGCCATGGGTAGGGATGTCTCATACTAGACCATGTCACCCAAGATTCCATCCACCCCTTGACAGGCCTTGAGGACTGTCAGGGATGGAGCACTCACAACTTCGTTGGGCAACCCGTTCAACTGCCTCACCACCCACACAGTAAAGAACTTCTTCCTTACATCTAACCTGAACTTACCCTATCTAAGTTTGAACCCATTACCTCTTGTCCTATCACTACAACCTCTGATGATATGGTGCTTTATGAAAAAGAACAAGAGTTGTTTTCCTCAGTACTTTTAGAACAACTCTGAAAACTGAAAAGCTGAATTTGACATTACCATTTCTGTTGTTAGAAAACTTATATCATAGAAGAGGGGCCAGAGAATTATTTCTCTAGGTTTAGTTGCACAAAAGATTTCCTTCCTCCAGTAGAGCATCACGAACCCCACAGTCCTTAATCAAAATGGCCATCAAAAACAGAGACAGAATCTGAATGCTCATTAAATAAAGACATACTAGTCCATTTTAAGAAGTTAACTTATTAACGAAGAATATATAATTCTGGATGTAAATGATCATACGCTGCATGGCTAAAAGTTGTGGTAAGTGAAGAGCGCAGCTGTTTTCTGTTACAATTTTTGTCAGTTGTATGATGCCAAAGATAGATACAAGTTCAAAACTTTAAAGTCAACATTTCCATTATTACTTATTTTTCTTTAACTGAGAGGTGTATGTGAAAAGCTCTGCCTACTGATGATGCAATGCTTCATGCCATGCCCTGCCTTTCCGAGCAGCAGGCAAAATCAACACTTCGCAGCCAGGGAAGCCTGTCAGCACTAGTGGGACCACGCACGGATCCTCCTCCTGCTTAGGCAGCACCAGGGGTGCCTCTCCCCATCCGCGTCAAGGATGCAAGGCCGCAGTCAAGGCTCCTCTACTCCCCCTCCTGGGAGGTCCGAAGTTCAGCTGCTGCCATTACTCACAAAATAAACAGCCTGCTTTCTGCTCCAGAACGGACAGCCGAGCTGGACGGCTTTTGCAGATGAACGTAGGAACTGGGAGGGGGCAGAGCTCATCCCTCAGCTGTCCACAGAAAGCAGCTCCCCTGGGACAGATAGCCAGCCATTCCTGCTGTCCCAAGCTGGAGAATCTCAGAAGGCCCTTGTCCCACGCCAAGGCACTATCCTGCAGCTCCCTCTCTCAGACTCTCTACACCTGGAACATCCCAGCTTCCAGGGCCCCTTTTCTCCAGCTGCACCAAGGCAGACTGCTTTCCCCAGCAATCAGGCAGTGTGGCAGCACTTTGTACAGTCTCTACAATGTGACCTCCAACTTATTCATCCCAAACTAGCCAACTTCCACCAGTAACAGTGTTATTGTCAGGGAATAGGGCTGCAAAGTAATACATGAGTGAGCCTGGTGTAGATGGCAGTGTGTGTTTACTGCACCCTGCCTGAATTGCATCTATCATTTTTAATAACATTATTAAACAGGAACTGAAAGAAACAGCTCTAAGCAAGGTAGATGAACGCAGGGTTTCTGAATGCAGTTTTCATGGATTTAAAAACACAAGCAAACATAATTTTTGCACCAGAAGAGGCAAAACTGTACTGAAGGAGAAACACTAGCAGCTTGTAAAATTGATGACAATGGGAGAAATCCTTGTGAATGCTTCTCAACACATCAATCATACTGACTCCCAGCCACACCACATGGCCATTCCACGCACTTCCAGACAGACATCAGTCCACACTGCACAGGATCCCAAGATCCCAGAGTTTCTGGAAAATAGATTTAGTCTTAATTTTTGGGACAGATGGGGCTGATAGTCTCAGGATGAAAAAAAGCGCCAGTTTTGACAGGCAGCAGATACCCATGCCCCTTGTGGTTGGAGACGATGTTTCTCTGGAATTAAGGTAGCACTGAAACGAAAGGCAATGGGTAACTGCACTATTACTTACTTTGTTGTGCTCCTGTCGTTGTGCCTTAATATTTATATTTTTGTGTCTGCTTCCTTACAAGCGAAGCAAAGCGAGGAGTTTAACAGGAAGGCAGGAGATCCGCGAGGACTACACATTACACCCTTTCACCTATTTAAACCACCTTTTACTAGTCCGGAAGTCTTAACAAAGTATCAAAGAACTATACTGTATTTCTGTCTGCAGGCATCCCCGTAGGTCAGTGTCCCAAACCCGTGCAGAAAACTTCGGGCGAGCAGCTCAATGAATTAAAAATCGGCAGGGGTTGTGGTGAGTGGAAAAAAAGTTGCAATACTGGAGGCACTGAGAAGCGGTACTTACACGTTCGCAGGACACCACTAGCAGAGACAGCTTTGCTCTCCCTGAGTGTACTAATACCCTGAAAACAGGAGGTCTGTTTAGATTAAAAAAAAAAAAAAAAGAAAAAAAAATCGGTCCCTTTTGAGCCTGATCCTCCCTACCTTTCGGGAAGCAGCTCTGCCCTTACTTGAATCAGTGGGAAGTTTAGGCACAGGCATCGCTGAGCCTAGAGACCATTTTTCCCCTTGCTGCAAGGAGAAGGAGCAGTTTAAAGGCGACACTCAGATACCCGCCGCCTGCTCTTCTGCCTCCGCGGCACGGTGCCCCGGGGAACCCCGCCGCAGCGCAGCCACCCCCGGAGCGCGGGTCCCTGTCTCTGCTGCGCGCCTTCGGCCGCCGCGCCGCCTTAACGGGAGGAGGGGCTCCTCGGGGGGCTGTCACTCTCCTTAAGCCTTTCCTTTCAAGCTTTGAATGTGAGCTGCCCTTCAGCCCCCCTCTCTCCTCCCCTCTCTCCTACAGATCGTAGAGTGGAGGGGGGAGAAAAAAAAAGTTTCAACAACAGGCTGGGCCAATGGCAAGTGGCGGGGCAGGGAAAGGGGGCCGAGCGAAGGGAGAAAAAAGTGGAGAAAAGGAGAAAGAGAGCGAGAGAACGCAGGCTGGGGGGGATGTGTAAAAGAAGCGTTGCTAATTTTTTTTGTTTGTTTGCTTTTCCATGCATGCATAATGAGGCCTAATCAGAGCACGTTGCTGCTGCTCGGAGGGCACTTTTGTATTTAAAGCCTTGCAAACCAAAAAGGATCCACAGACGGATCCGCAGAGCAGCTTGCAGGGCTTGTTGACAACAGAAGCAGCATCAGTCGCCCAGAGAGAAAGAAACCCCGAAGGTTGCCTTTTCTCCTTCCCCCGTGCTATCTTTTTGCTAGCGGGGAAATTTCTTCTTCCCGCCACCCGAGAGTGCAACCCGTTACCGAGAGGGAGCAAGCGGAGCCGGGACTGTGAATGGGATCGGAGCAGCTGGCATGTGCAGAGATGCTGCGAGCGGAGAGTTAAAAGCTCCCGAGAAGGCAGCAGCAACAACAACAGCAGCGGCAGCAGCTGGGCATTTATTTTGTGCAAAAAAAAAAGGAAAAAAAAAAAGAGAGAGAAACGGAACTGCATGAGGAGCAGGACAGCACCATGAGCTCTCTCGGCGCAGCTTGCAAGTCCCTGAGCGCACTTCGGAGCCGCTCTCCTCCGAGCCCCAGTTTGCACTGATTTCCCCCACCTCCTCCGGGCGCCTTTGCCGCCGCAGAGCAGAGCCGGGAGCAGCGGGTGAAGAGCACGGGACGGCCCCGGCCGCCTGCTTCGTACCGCGGCCCCGCCGGTTTCAGCTTCCGGGGACTGCAGGGCCCCGGAGCCGGCGCGAATGGATTGATGCGAGGAGACCTCATGCACAAGGCCGGCGGGAGTTTTGCAAACTTTTCTACGGGCGGCAGCTCCTTCTCCTCCTCCGCCTCCTCGTCGTCGTCGTCGTCGCCACCCAGCGCCTCTGCCCCTCTCGCCCGCGGCAGCAGCCGCCGCCAGCTATGGTGGCCCGTTCGTCCGCTCAGCACGGAGGCGGCGGCGGGCGCCACTGGCCGCGGCCGGCCGCCTGGCTGTGGCTGGCAGCGGCGCTGGGCGCCGTGTGCCCGCCGCGGGGCTCGCTGGTGCAGGGCCGGCGGCTGATCTGCTGGCAGGCGGTGCTGCAGTGTCAGGGGGAGCCCGAGTGCAGCTACGCTTACAACCAGTACGCCGAGGCGTGCGCCCCAGTGCTTCTGCAGCAGCCGCCGGCGGGCGGCGGGGCCGGGCCGGCGGGCGCTGCAGGCGCCTCGGCCTCCTCCAGGCGGCGGTGCCCCAGCCATTGCATCGCGGCCCTCATCCAGCTCAACCACACCCGGCGCGGCCCGGCGCTGGAGGACTGCGACTGCGCGCAGGACGAAAACTGTCGCGCCACCAAGCGCGCCATCGAGCCGTGCCTGCCCCGCACAAGCAGCCCTTCTGCTGGGGGCCCTGGTCCCGGCCCCGGCGTCATGGGCTGCACAGAGGCGCGGCGGCGCTGTGACTGGGACAGCCGCTGCAGCCTCGCGCTCAACCGCTACATGACCTACTGCGGGAAGCTGTTCAATGGGCTGCGCTGCACGCCCGAGTGCCGTGCCGTTATCGAGGACATGCTGGCCGTGCCTAAAGCCGTGCTGCTCAACGACTGCGTCTGCGACGGGCTGGAGCGGCCCATCTGTGAGTCGGTCAAGGAGAACATGGCCCGCCTCTGCTTCGGCGCGGACACGGGCGGCAACGGCGCAGGCAGCAGCGGCGGCTCGGACGGCGGCCTGGAGGAGTACTACGACGAAGACTACGAGGAGGAGCCGAGCCAGAAGGGGAGGGACGACGCGGAGGACAATGCGGGCTCCGAGCCCGGTTTCCCCGTGCAGGCGGATAGCGCCGGCCGGCCTGCGGCCGTGGTCTGGGCGTTGCTGGCCTCCATCTTGATGCCGCTGCTGCTGCGGCTCTAGCGGCTTTCCCTGCCTCCTGCCAGCGCCGGGCCGCGCTGGCCTCCTCGCGGCGGCAGGGGGGCGGCCGGCGGGGTCCTCCGGGCCGCTCAGTTTAAACGCTCTAACCGTTAATCTGCCGACCATTAGGCCGGGCCCTCCCCTCTCTGCACACACACTGTCCTCCGGTCCCCCGCCTATCTCCCCCTCTGCCGCCGTGCCTGCCCGAACCGCTTGCCCGCACTCTCCCACCGGCCCGACTGCCCCAGCAGTGGGAAGGTGCCGCGGCCTTGCGAGCTGGCAGCCGGGGCGGTGTGGAGCGGGAGGGCACGGGCTGCTGTTGTTTCGGGTGTTGGTCTGGAGTGTGCACTATGCAATTGTTGCCACTTTGCCTTCAAGTTAGCAGCGAGCGGAGCGGGCTGACGGGGAGTCTGCTAGCGAGGCTTCAGCCGGCTCCCCGCTGCCGCCAGCCGGAGCAGCCAGCAGTAACGGCATGGTGGTGGTGGTGGTTTTCTGAAAGCGTTTTGACATGAAGGTTAGAAGTGAGCTACCCAAACTTGCTGCCAAAGCTGTTGCCGTACTGGTCAGTCAACGACTATAATTTGCCAAGTCTCGCTCTTGGTGACGCTGCGGTGCTCGAAAGGGGCTTAACGCGGAATCTGCCAATTTTTAAAGGAAATAGGAGACTGAATAAATTCTGTGGTTTACAGCACTCCCTCTTGCACACACATCTGCCCTATAACAAAAACCGTGCCAGCAGCCGTCTCTTCCTCTTCAACCTAAAAAAAAAAAAAAAAAGTTTTTTTTTTTTCAGAGCTGTTGGCTATACTGAACAATGCAACTTTTGTTTTAAAAGAGCTCTGCACTGCCATCTTTGAAGACACTTTTAAACTCGAGAACATGTATGTACAAATATCCTGAAAGTTATATTGCCTCTCATCATATCAGGGTGCTGACCGCTGGTAAATCTTATATAAGAAATGTATTTAAAACTGGGATTTGTTACCAGTTGCTCTTCTTAGCATGTACAATTTTATAAATTGTATGCTTTTGGGGATAATTTATTTAAGAAAAATAATAAAAGTTTTAAATTCACATCATATTTACCAGATAATTGCATTTGCTATTCTTTTCTGGAAAGGTACAAATTTCATTTTATGTTTAAAGGGATACCAGCTTTTGTGATTCAGTGAAGTATTCTCTAGAAGATCAAATGTACAGTGTATTTTACAGATTGGAATTTAACTTTCTTATTTGGAGAGACTTTATGAACGTTGTAGAATTGTATAAGTGCATTTCTGAGCTGCCTTAAACCTTGTATTTTTTATAGGAGGCATAAAAAAGGCCTGTGTTTTAAATATGTACGGCTTTTTGTATTTTCTAAATGTGTAAATTAGTAAAGAAAGAGCTTTAAATAATGGATGTGGTGAAATTGTTTTCCAGGGACGCTTGAACTCTCAGCACCCGAGGTTGGGGGCGGGGGGAGAGGGATGGGGGGGGGGGGGGGAAGCGAACCACAGAATAAAAAACCAAAACCAGTCAACAAACAAAAATCTCTGTCTGCCTGTCATACTTTACATAGATGTAAATTACTGCTATTCTTACTTTAATGAATAATTACATGCAAGAAGTAAATACAGCTTTGAAAGTACTACTTTAAAAGAGTGGTTGATTTTATAATGCGTTGGCATGGTAACTTGTTAGTGCCAGAAGAGAGTGAAGCAATTGAAGGACACTGCTCCTGTATGTATGTAGAATTACTAGTGTGCCGTGCTTTCTTCGTGAAGTGGAGGCCTGTTGCTCTTACTGACACTTAGAAATGCTCCTAGGCATGCAAACAAGTAAATGGTGAGAAATACATCACACAGAGGTGGCAAGTGTTTCGAATAAGGCTTTGCGGCAGGCAGTGGTGCGCGAATCAAGGGGGCTGCAACAAAACACACCGAAGTTTGCCATTCAGCCTGCCTTCTCCCACAACGAAGAATGCAAAAGTAAACACACTGGAGGGATCAGCAATTACTAGATCTTGTAATACTGTTCTTAAGAGTTGCTTTGCATCGTGCTGAAGCCTGGTTTGCTGCCAGAGCTACTGATCTACACTCAAACGCCCTTAGATAAATAATTACACTCTTAAGTTGTGTCGAGTGCTGATACACTTGACCTTGTAAATAGAAATGTTTGCAGTAGGAATAAACTCCAGCATTGGAAGATCTTTTTAAACATTAACACAAAAGAGAGAGCTCAGTCCTCTGGGGATTTGAGTTTGGAGTGTGTCAAGCTAGGCACTCGCAGAAAAAAAAAAATGAAAAGGAAAAAAGGCAGAGAAAAGAAAGTTTATTTATCTTCTATTCGTGGTGTTTATTTAAAGCTTTTCGCTTTAAATGCCATAATTGGATGGCGAGTCAGAAGTTTAAAAGCTACCACAAATAAACTTTGACTGAGGGGGCAAGAGATTAGCAAGATAGTGTCTTTTTCATCTTACCAGATCTTGACAGAGAGCAAATCCACATCTGTCTGTTGTCTAAATCAACAAAAGTAGAAATTCCTGCTTCTTGATTGGTTATTTCAGCAACAGGTTATTTTATTTTTTCTTTAGGGTGCGAATTTGATTAGGTTGCCCAGTGGTAAACTCACACAGGCACACATGCACACACATAAACCAACCCCCAAATAGTTGTGATAACAGACAAGTGTATGACTATGGTGTATGGCTATAATCTGAAGGTCGTTTTTAAAGTCATCAGAATGGTTGAGTAAGCTTATTGTTAAAGCTGGAAATACTGTTTCTTCAGGAAGAGGATAGAGTAGTTGGGTGAGACTTGTAATAGAGTCAGCTTTTTCTACAGAATGCTGAGTTCACAGCTGTGTAGGGATGATCTTAAATATTCTCTCCAGTTCTTCAGGAGGTGCTCAGAAACATTTGCAGTTTGTCAACAGTTAGTACTCACAAGGACTATTTAACTCGTTGATGAAAAATTCTCAGCTAAAAGCCTTTATTTTTCTTCAGGTAAGAGTAGCAGTCTGATACAATAAACTGAAGACTTGATTTTACAGGCTCCTATCAAAAGCATCTGCCTGGAATAAATCAACACTGAGCACCACTAGGCAGGGAGGGCTTATCTGTATGCTTCCTTCTCCACAGAAAGTGGATTGTTTTAATTTAAATGATTGTACAATAAATACAGCTGGACTAATTCTGTCCTGTGAGCTCCTCCCCATATGGAGATAGCTCTCCAGGTTTCGTCGTGTTGTCAGAGTAAGCACAGTTTCCAGGAGGAATAGCTTGCCTGTGTTGGTATATGTCCCAGCCGACAAATCCTGTGCCAGATGTTGATGTCCTTCAAATTCGTATTCCTTTTGCTTGATTTTGAGACAAATGGAAATTCTTGAAATGTCAAGGGATGTAGCAAGGACAGCTTTAAGCAAGGAAAGCCTTCATGTTCCCTGACAGAGGGAGATTTTCCACAGGAAAGGAAGTTCTCTCATTTGCCTGGGTGTTTGAAAGTGCTCTTTGCCAAGACCCTGTCCAGCCAATCTCTTCCAAGGCTAGAAGGAACTCTCCACCATTTCTGCTCCCTTTTTATTCCCAGTTACCAGGTTTGAATTCTTGGTGACAGTTTATTTGTCTTTGGAGGCACTTCAGTGACAAATGTTTAAGGGAGTGTGGGACAATGGTGGAGAACAAGGAGGCAGTTCATTGAACTGACAGTGACCATACAGTAAATAGAGGGAGACTCAAGCTTCACTGATCACTCAAGCGCACAGCAAAGCTTTTGTATGCAATCACAATGGACATAACATAAGGTCTCTGTTTATAACAATATACACCAATGTATATAGGGAGGAATATGTAGCTTTCAAAACTGTTATGAAACAAAGCCTCACAGTGACTCTGGTTTGGCCAAGTCTTTCATGGTTGCATTGGAAAGCATGATGGATTTTAGTAACAATCTGCGCTTCACTCCTCCGAAGAGCTGTTAGTGAGCCAAGTCCTTCACTGCATGCAGCCACCTATAGTGCATACCTACAGCCGGGCTAAAAAGATGGCTGCAGACAGCTTTGCAGGTGCAGAACAAAAAATTCCATCTCAGTGCAATGCAAAACCAGTACTCGCTTTTTGTTCTTTCTGATGATGTTGATGATGTTACTGGCTTTGTTGTTGTTTTTGTTTTGAGTACACTGGAGGAGAGTGAGAGGAACTCCAAAATAGCCAAGGTGCAATTATAAGAATAGTGGGACACAAAACTGTCACCACCTGGGTCATGGAAAACACTGCTTGAATGACGTGGGCTGCATTGTGTCTTCAATGTCACTAAAACAAATTCAGACCTCCATTCTGTTTTATTCCTGTCCCCAGTAATAACCACATACTACCACGCTGCCTGTGATAACACACCCATTGTAAGTCTTCAGGAAAAGTAGGTAGTCCTGCAACAGAAAACATTTTCAAGTGGGAAGAGCAGTGCTTCTCTGTGAGATTTCAACTCTGTGGTACAGACTTGCAAGCAGTAAAGTCGAAAGTTACTGTATTTTACTTGAGGCACTGGCGGTGGTAGACAGTTGAAAAGGCTCACATTGACTGTCTGAATGACATAAGTAGTTCGCTATTAGCATAAATACTTTCTAAGACATCCATTTAATCAATTTCTTAAATAACAGAATGATCTACTACAAAATAGTGGACTGTATACACTATATTTTGGCACAAAGATGGTCATTCTCCCACTAGTAACCAGGGGCTCTAAATAAATGATTTCAACAATGTTTTATTAAAGGAGGACAAGGGCCCTCGAGCTGCATTAATCGGGGAGAAGTCGAGTGGCACTTTTGTTATGGAAATGTTAAACACATAATAGTTCAGGCAAACAATGTGGAGCCACTTCATTCTCTCAGCCATGCTGACACCTCTTAAAGAGGAACTGCAGGGAAGGATGTGGGAAAGATTTGCTTTCTGAGGAAGCTTTCAGCTAATATTTTTGATATTTACCTCCAAAATTCAGGCAGTGCAAATGTAACTGAAGGGCATAAAAATAAAGCAATAAAGAGGGATCATTTGGCAGCAACTGCTAGTGATCATCATTTGGCGCCCAAAATCAAAATAGTCATAGACAAAAAAAGAAAAAAAAAACAAAACAACAAAAAACCCACAAAAAAGCAACAACAAAAAAGCTGTGGGGTTTTTGGTGTTTTTTTTTTTGAGTTTGGGTTTTTTTTTATGGATTTA